TTCATGAATAATATACGTTATTCCAGGACTTAACATGAAGTCTATTATTTATGTATAAGAACCACTTAGACTCTAAGGGATTATTATTTGTAAGTTTCTAACATAAGGAAAAACGTTTCTATAGCAACAAATGGCCTTACCCTTTATATAATCATTAATTCGCCATGCTTCACGTTTAACAATTGACGAAATTTAAGCAACGATATATAATACTTATTAGTTGACCAGCACTTTTGGAACAAATATAATTTTAATTAAATTAGATATTTTTAATGAACTATAATAAGTCTTTACACAAAGGTAAATGCATACCAGTGCGAAGTTGTTCCATTGACACTTTACTAGTAGAACTAAATAATTTATGTTGTTTACAGTAACCGGTAAATGATAATGAACCGAACCAACACAGGTTTGTGCACAACAAAACGCACAGGAAATATTAATGTATAATACAGAAACGAGTCCTTTCTAAATTTAAATTAAAATATAACATTGTATACGACACACCCAACATGAGTCTCCTGAGCCTCGAATTATCAAATTAATTAGTTTGTATCAACCTTAAAATTTAAATTTTATAGTCGTCGCACCGGCACTGGGTGTAATTAATTTTTGTATCTTATCAATAGTAATAATTTGCACGTTCAGTATGTTTTGTACGCAATAATTTCTAAAGGCGTGTGTGATAAATGAAATGAATTTCTACAGACTGGAAACTCGCAAAAGCCGGGTACAGTACGCCAATATCCGGGACTGTTTGTACCGGACTAATTGAGGAAATTAAAATATTTATTATATAAGGTGTAAACTTATTTTTCTAAAAATTAAAAATTGGACTAAAATAATAATTATAAATATACAAACATGCAAAATAAGATCTTTGTAGAAAAAAATCAGCCTGGGTTAGAACTTGGAGGGTTTCAATCAAGGTACATTAGGTATTGGAAAAAGCTTAATGTGAGATATTTAAATTTGGGTTTTGAGGAGTACGCAATCTAGAGAAGGAAGCGACATTGGATTCTTTGAATTTAAATTTCACGGAGAGGGGAAAGGTATCGGTCAAGGAGAGGAACTATTTTGGTTTTGGAGCAAAGGAGATCACACGGAATAATTTAATTCATCTAATGGAAATCGGTACATTCTTGTTTCATCTATGGAATCAGCATTGTTCCAAATTGGTTTGAGAACCAAGAGTCCACTATATATTCATGATCTGTTTTTTTTTTCTTTTATAAAAATCGAAGGCAAAACTACAATTTGCACCATCATGATCCATATTTAATGACACATCGTTTGATATTTAAAATTGCTTTAAGAGAAATCGTTATTTTCCTTAGGAACTATACAAAGTATTATATTTTTTATTCTACTTTATTCAAACAGAATATTAATTATTATAATAATTTATTGGCTACAATTATACAAAACTAAATAATATAAATTAAAAAGAAAACAACTCTAACAATAAATAAATAAAATGTAAAATAAAATTATTAATAAAAATAAAATAACAATTCGATAAGTTTAAAACAATTGTAACTAGCCAATACGCTATCGACCTCGTTCGTTCTACCCAATCAAATGAAATATTATTACAAATATAATTCAAAATTAGTAATTTGTAAAATCACACTTAATTTTTATTAATCTAATTAATAAAAAATGCTTTTTACGAGTGTATATCAAATGGGAATGGACAATAAATTGTTTATTCGATTTCTAAAGCTTATTAAAATACTGCGATTGATCTGATATTTCACGTACAAATGCCGAGCATGTTAACAATCAAATCAGGTCTTCCGAAAGGAAGTGTGCAGGATACTCTACCTTGATGGAGACGACAATAATAACATCATGACAATGTTTACAATGATAAAAGCGTCTTATCGACACATTTACCCTTCAACGTCACAATAATAACATCATCTGACAACATTACTTGGAAAAGAAAGATCAACTCATAGAATTATGGAAGTAATAAAAACAATTGCACAAACTTACAAATTATACATATATATATATGTCACCACGAAATATTGTTCAAAATAATAATACCAAAACATTTTTTCGACAATATATTTATGTATCGACAGCTTAAAAAGTAAGTACTTTAAAGTCATTACTTCGTATTATAGCATTTAATTATATTATGGAATTTTTTAATATTTCTATAATTGTCAATCAAAAGATAATTAATAACTTGACATACGAATTAAATATAAATGTTTTAATGATTTGTACATGTTTATTTCTTACAGGTGTTCGGCATTTATTTTGTAAATAATTGAAGAAATACTATTTACTACTTTCATTGATTGTTGTATATCTATTTTGATTCTTTTACTATCTTTCCGAAAAAGTAATTTGTAACCTTGACGTAATTTGTAACCTTATAGTATGGTTTGCAGCAAATGAGTTTATATTTCCATGTTTTTGTCCTACTTTAAAAAAAAATCATTTATCAACAACACAACGTTTGTTGTTTAATTACAAGCATACTTTATGTTTATTCTTTCTTATTTTTAACATTTTAAACTTTAATAATTAATTTTACAGCGTAAAAAAATAGAATATGAACAATGTATACATAACAATGAAATAAAGTAATAATTATTGTATAATACTATTTAAATGATGGCAGTAATTATTTATTAGATCATGAGTTCTGTATATTGGAAATGACAATTTAAAATAATGGACACAATGATCATATAAAGCTATATGGCACTTTTTCGATTTACGACTCGCAATGTTTCGTCAAAAAGAAACATTGTAAAAAAAGCAAGGTGATTTTTTTGTTATACGGCTTTCCACTTTACGGCCAACTTTTCCAGCACGAAAAGCCGAAAAGCGTGGTATGCGTGTAGTTGTGTTTCAATATACATATCGTATGTAGATTGATAAGTTCTTTTTGCGTATTGTATTGCCTTAATGAAATTATATGCGTTACAGACTTTGGACGATATTGATCCAATGAATAAAAACATCCAAGTTAACAGATTACGCAGAAATAATGAAAATTATTATTATACAAATTATAAATCTAAAATAAAAGTGATTATGGGGCTTCAAATTTTTAATAAAAATATGCTAAAGATAATTCGTATTAAAAAAATAAAGTTAATAAAAAAGACAATAATTATATGTAGCACTTAATAAACTTGTTAAAATATTAGTTTTAAATACTAAAAAGTTATTTCTATTAATAGGACTAGAGTTAATAATGTTAAACAAAATTTATTTTATAAACTTAAAATCATCTGACTATAATTATCGTTGCAATGTTGCTAAAATATCTTATACTATAATAATACAAAAATAATTTACGTTTTAAAGATGTCCAGGAACAAATATATATATATATTTAATATATATGACTTGTAATGTTTTAAATTTAGTCTCTTATTTTATTTGATAAAAATATGTTTAATCTGTGTTGTGTAAACTGAAATCATATAGCGGTGTTTCTTTTGAACTGCTACTCACCTACAGTTAATTAAAGCTTCGAAACTGCAATGGTTTTAATTAACGACGATGTAGATATATAACTGTATTCATTTTTGCTTTTGCAATCAAAGTAACTTTGGAAATAACAGAACATAGTAATAACAAGTATCAGAACTCATTAGCTTCAATTTTATCATACGGACACTGAACTGAACACTACTGCAGTATATATTTGCATCATCTGAGATGCGAGATTATGTCACAACATAAATTATTTTATATCTTAAATAAATTGCATAACATCATCTGCATTTCATATATTACGTTATTGCATGTATTATTAAACCCCTTGACATTTCAGTTTATTTTCAATTTCTCATTTTATTACGCGGTAAAATTAATTATTATTTGAGTTTTATATATTTATAGTAATAAAGAACAAATAATAAATTTAACTAATTATATTATAACTAAAAAAAATTGTAAACTACTAAAACCTTTAACTTCTACAATGACGAATTAAATTCGTCATAAATTATGGATGAATTGAGAGTATCCAACCATCCAATAAAGCTTTGGTTTTGAGTAAATTAGAGTCAAATTGTTTGCGTCTCAGCAAGTACCGAATGATGACAAATAAAGTAATCATTAGAATTTCTAACGAAAAATAGAAAGTAAATGCTGAATGAACTGTAAAAAATATACATAAATATTTTCTGATATTTCATTTGTATGTCAAAGTTTGAAATTGTACTGTAACATTCCAAGAAATTTGTTTATAATATTTCTTTATACTTTCAGACCTATTTCTGCTACAAAATGGTGTATATTTATAATAATAATAAATAGTAACATATGTGAAGTGTCAAAATATTACATAATTAACATTATAAAATATGACATCATCATAAAATATGTTTATATTTTTAATGTATGATATAATTCATTCATAAATATATTATTTTTAACAATATATTAATGTAATCATATATTTTGTTTAGTTGTATTATATAAACATATAAAAAAAATGTATCCAGGTTATGCAACCGAAACAACTTTGTGTTAAAGCAACGCGATGTAATAGAATATTCAAGAGATGCCATTTAAATGTAAATTCATATTTAATAATATTAATGATAAAAAAATAAAATATGTAATGTATTGTTTGAGAAGTTTATCTTCGTATACTAAAAGAAACACGCACTGAATATTTGTTTAGCCATAATGAGTTAAAGTTAAAGAACGCGTTCTTTTTAGAGCGGAAGATTAATTTATTTCCTCGAGCCTCTAGCGTCGTCAACAAAGTGCGCGGACAATTGATAAATGTGCGGTATTGTTGCTGAATCAGAGCAGCCGCGAACTCATCTTTTGTTCTTGTTACAATGGTCACCTGTAAAGTAGTGGAAATTCGAGAAATCGAATTCCTTTTGTTTTCGCGTTTCTTTCATCTTAATGAACAGATGCTTCCCATCTGAAGACATCTGAGTCATCCGAGCGAAACTGATATTTAGGAAAAATGCTACTACTAAAAAGGCGGAAGAAGTCGTACTTACCGCTTTACAATTTGCTTGATGGAAATCTTCCTCCGTTTTCGGTCCGTCTTTTCCGGCTCTGGATTCGATTGTTTAGAGAAGGATCTTCAGGTCTTCGTGGGAGAAAATGTGGCCTTCCGGATCATCAACATCTAAACGGGTGCGTAGCCATCGCAACTGCGGTAGGACGAGGGGGATAAAAGCGCTCGACGCCTGGAACAGAACTATCGCGAACAGCTGTGATGGAAATCCGAGGGGGAAAAATTCGTGTGGGCTAGCAAAGATCGTACTCTCGTGCCGGTACCGAATAACATGCAAATGAACCAACAGTTATTAATAGCGTTTATTAATACAATTTGTCTCTTCAAAACATAAACAAAAACTTTGTTATGGATTGCTTCATCAAATATATAGAATTTAATTATAATAAAATATAGAATATGCAGTTTTTATTAATCATATTACGTTGAAACCAGTTGCTAAATATATAAAGTTAATTATTTAAATACTCTTTGTAATTTTTAATTTAAACGTTCGGTAGAAGTCGAAGATAGCCGAAGCGGTACGTTTTACCGTGTCACTTCGTGCATGCGTTGGAGCGCCGCGACACCGGCGCCCGGAAAATCGATTTTCCGTCGGCCCTAGGGGTGCAGAATGCGCCTGCAGCCGACCACCCTCCACGCGGCTCGGTCACATCCTAACCGAACGCAACTTGTTACGGTCCCAGCAAAAACAATAGATCAACGTGCATGGAAATCACAAACGTAAAATAACAAACAACACACTTTGCGCTTACAAAAACTTAGACAACGTTTGCCATGTCCTTAACGCTGCAATTGTTTCTCATAGTTATTGTTTTTTTGGCAGATGTCAAACAGCCGATCGATCAATCGATATCGATATCTTCGGTAAAAGGTGAGTATCTCATCTCATAATTTGCAGTTTATTAAAAAAAAATGCAAGCGAAGGATGCTGAATTTATACCGCCACCGTATTACGAGGCTGTCTCGTAAAAATGAAACATATTTGCGGTTCGCTTGGTTTATCTCTACATAAAATATTGGCTCAGCCAATCCGGTTTTCATCTATTTATCCTCACGCTGTCTCGATAATTTTTATGAAAACATAATTTAGAATGTTTTTGTTTGCTTTGTAGATACTATGGGCATTAAAAGGAAGTTTTATAAACGCCTGTTACTATGTGGATTACTGGTTAATATGCTGATAGTGTATTTTCTGTTGAAGCAACGTCTTCAGGTCTCGGTATCTGAAGTAGAAGCTCCTGAAATGGACATATGTTCCTTTCCGAATTTAAAACCCTTCGACAAAGAAGTGCTGCGATACATACGATCTTCTCCGATAAAAAGTATGCAGTGTCCTAGAGTTGGTCCCGACTTGTTTGCCTCGGACTTGTCCACACTCTATCAAATCCAACACGACTTCATTGATTACTCAAAGATACGCTGCTTCTACAAAACTAATGGTGATTGGATGAAGTTTTACAAAGCACTCGAGATCAACCATGCGAACGTCGTCCAGGTCAAATGCACGCACTTGAAGAAAACTGTGCACCGAGATTATATCACTATAGTGCCTCACTTGCCAATAAAATCAAAGAAGTCTTATAACGTTTTAGTATTGGTCCTCCGGGATTTGAGTCGCATGAACTTCCATAGAGATATGAGGGAAACGCACAGAGTGACGAAGAAGTTACGAATCGTAGAAATGCAACGACCGAACGTTATCTCCATGGACGATCACTCCAACCTAGTCACAATGATGAGAGGATGCCCAGATAAGAGATGCGATGGAGATTTTGTTTGGGAAGAGTTTCGGAGACGTGGCTTCCTCACCGCTTATGCTGAGGATGGAATCAAGAAGCATTTGAATACCACAGGTATGATTAAGCACTTTTCCACGACGCTTTTAACAATTCTCCGAGGAAAATAATGATGGATAGTGTGTATCCCATAAGTAAAAAGTAAAAGCTGCTTAGCAGATTATCCAACAGCGATTTACGTTCCTGTTCATAAGGCAATGATTCGAAATATCGACTCATCTCTTTCACCAATCGAAAATGTAAAATGGACTTCTTGAACCATGCTTTAATGAATCCGTGCTCAATAAATTTGTTTATTTTATCATCAAATATCTTAGCGTAAGGGGAGTTTCTTTGCAGCGCAATAGTTAAATAAAAGAAGCCGAAACACTCTTTCATGACTCTCAGGTGCTTCTTTTGCAGCGCTGAAAAACCATCGGTTTCAGTAACAAGGCTATCAAATTTGCTGGTCACAAATGCAAGGTTCTCATCATCCGGTTCAAAGCGCTTGATGCGCGTCTTCATCAAATTCTTCAAATACTTATTGGACGTATTTGTCATCAGTTCGAAAGCGGAATCGTCGGTACTGGCCCACACCACGCCTGAATCAGATAGATCTTTGAAACTATTTATGGGGTCAGTGAAGTGGGACGAAGCCAAATAGCTGACGATTCCCGCAGAATATCCTGAGGTTAACAGCAACGCTAAGCTCCTCCAAAGTGTTAGTACGATTCGCGGTAAAGGCTTCTTAGGGAATACGGAAATCGTTTGATCCGTGAGTACTTTGAATACGTTTAGAAGATTAGTTGTTAGTTCACGTTTTTCGAATAAATATAAAATTATACTTATTGTACTAGATGTCCCTGCGATTGATAACCAGACTTCCCAATGGAATGGCTTGGACAACAAATTGAAAATCCTGATAAACTTTGGTCTTGGAACGAGAAACGTGGCGCACGTCTGAGAGTACGGGGTAGTTAAATAGACATTCTTCAAACTGACGTAGTTATACCATTGTCCGCATGCCGACATATCGAGTTTTCTTTGCACTAAATCCTCAACGGCTGTCACCCAAGCAAACCTATCGTAACCAATAACCTCGACATTCCAACTATTAGCTATCTCGTCTACAATATACTTCTCTATACCGTTAAACCACTTCTTTCGCGCTTCATCGTAGTACATAAACGGAGGACAATGGAAAGCGCCCACACGGAACTTTAAATCACTGGGTGGCTTCCAATTGTTTTTATCTGTCCTTGAAGCATTTTTTCCGACAACGAACAAATCTATAGCATTAGAGTAAGCCTTTGTTCTTAAAAATTCAAAGTCTATAGCGGTGTTGAAAAGTCCCATTCTTGTGTGAGGTAATATTAAGCCTCTATCGATCAATTTGTCTACGAACTTCATCGTTTTCTCAGTTGCTACCAGATAACCTCTAGGTTTGCAGCCCGCATTGATAACACTTTCATCAGATACCAATCTGATTGTAAAATCCTCGAAAAAATGTAACTCATCCGCAGTCTCATTATCGAATATGTAAACTATACAAGATTTATCTTCAAAAATCACATCTTCAGCATCCACAAAATACATGCTGAGCAGTATAAACAATTCTAAGTACATTTCGTACGTCGATCAAAGCTTAAATGGTGATGCGTTATTAAGGTCAATTATTTTTAATGTCAGCTCTTTATTGCTTTCTAATTACGCGCACTATAATCATTAAATCTAGATTCTAGAAACAAAAAAAGGGGGAGCAGCATTAATGGTTAAACTATGTTCTACTTTTATTATTCTACGATTTTATTCCCACTCAATTATTATTTTAGTTTCCTAGGATAATTACTTTATTAACTTTTATTATCTTTTTTTAGAATATAATTTTGATTATGATTTGAGACTCGATAATAATCTGCAAGACTTCTTCGGCTCGAAATGGAACACCAACCTTCATCCGTTATGTATGAGAAATCGGAAAACGCACGAGGTTCTGCTAAAATTTGCAAAGCAACTCTTGAATCGCTCATATTTATCGGACCAGAATTTCTTCATTTGGATAACGATTAACGCTGTGAAAGGTTCGGAGGATCGTGTTAAAGACTTGGACGTGGATTTTGCCAGATTCTTTGATTACTTATCCAAGGCCGGACATCTGAATGATACTTTTGTGCTGTTCTTGAGTGATAGAGGAAACCCTCTCACTGATCTTCATAATATTCAAAGAGGTTTCGTGGAAAGTTTACTTCCCTTCCATTTCTTATCCGTTCCCGGATGGTTTAAATCGGAATCAAGAGTTGATTTTAATAACTTGAAAAGAAATCGGGATGCACCAATAACACCTTACGACGTATATCATAGTTTGAAGAGTTTAGCAAACTTCGATCAGCCTCATTTAGGTATATTTTCTAAATTATCCAAAGACAACAACCCATATATTCCAAGCGAGTACAAGGCTTGCTATTGGAGACAGATTCCTAATAATGATTCTGAAGCATTGAAAGCGGCGAGATATTCTATAGATTATGTTAACTATAAAGTGCAGAATACTGAATGTTTAATTATAAATTTGAAGATTATTGTGAGCGTTAGATACACGAATAATGAAAATATTTACGTGATTAGATTCTTGGTGAATCAACTACAAAGCCTCTACGAATGTGTTGTGTACAAACATGGATATAGACTGCTTGTAAAAAGTGTAAACAGGGTGGGAATATTTGATGATTCGTGCGTCGATGAAAATTTGCACAAGAAAATGTGCGTTTGTCCAAACACGTAAAATGATTTTTTTTTGAGTATTTATTCAAAAACTTTATTTCTCCAAACATTAATTTGATATAAATATCACAACAATGGAATATAATTTTAACAACATTTTTTACCATTCGAAAATACATTCATAGAACTATATTGTTTTTTTTGTTTGTAATAATATATTTATCTATTATATGTGTGTATATATTGACATTAATTTCTCTCTGACAGTCTTTTTTCTAAATGTTTCCGTTGTCCATCTGGAATGAGACAGATGGCGCGGAACTGGGGCCTCGGTGGGGTTGTCTCATACACTTCAACAGTTGCTTTCGCATCCGGTTGTCGCTCCCGTAGAAATCATCCTGGAACAACGGAGAGAGACGCACTGAACTTTGAGTTAAAAATTAAAATCTTTATTTGCAGATGGCTTAAAGGCAATCTAATAAAATAATAGTCTATCGCTGCAGCGAAATGTGGACCGAGTAGGACGTGGGTAGGCGAGGATAAGTGGCTCCGGGGAACTTGAACAGGATCTTCATGTCGAACACTTCGATGGGGCTCATCTGGGAATACTCGAACTTGAGGTCACGTAACACCTTCATTGGAGCTAGCCTCAAAGGACACGAAAGGTCGATCAGCATTTGAAGGCCAGTGAACGGGATTTGCTCCTCGCTGTCGGAGTCTTCTTCCTCGAATACGCTATCAAATTCCGAGGTATTAAATTTACTTAAATACGCTCCTGAAACAATTGTTATATCATCATTGTAACTTGTAAATTTTAATTTGTTTATGGAAACACCTTCGTTCATGGCTCCGTAATAATAAAACATGTTGCCCACTTCCCCGTAACCTGTGTAGACAGAGTTCACAGGTTTCTTAAGCCTGCCTCTGGGATTCGGCCGCAAGTTCAGCTCGCGCAAATACTGCGAGTACTCCATATGCATCTCTGTGTGACTTACCACAATCCTCCTCAGCCTCATATACATCAGTCTCATCTGCTCGTTCCACGGCTTCGCCTTCTCATCGTTGGTCTCCAAAGCTACCAGCCAACTTCTACTAAAATAATAACAAACCTGAAACAGCCCCAAATAGATAATGCAAACTGGCCGAGTGACTCGTTTAGACTTTGTAAATTAAAACATCGTTGGCTATCGTCTCTTCTATGACATCCTTGCGGGCTTCGGTTGCGCAGTCTAAAATATCTAAAATCTTGCAGCCCGAACAGAAGACCGACGTGTTCAGATCCTGCTCGGACACTCGGTCGAAGTAAAGGACAAACGTCTTCGTGAGCTGACTAATCTTGGTCACCTCTTTCGGATAGGTCTAAGGAAAGCCCGACCAATATAACATACTCGTCGTTACGGTTGTGCGTAGTGCTCACGTAATCATTTAAAATTGCAGGAGTGTAGACCTTATGTGGTTCTCTGATGTACATCCGGAAGATCTTCTCATACAAGTCCAAAATACTACCAGCATACATGCAGAAAACCGTCTCATCCCTCTCAACGTACCGCCAAATCGCTGATTGTAAAATCGAATACTTCGGGCACCATTACATGATTTTACATTATAAATATTATTGGCCTTACGTGCAGCATAAGATACTCTATGGTGTTCAGCATCTTGCACATGCAACGCGTCTCCATGTCATCTTGGGAATGCGAAATAGAGTTGAGAATCAGCTTCTTTTGGTGCACCAACCTTTTCTCGATGTTTCTAAACGCGGTGTTGATTAAGTGATGCGCCAAAACCCGGAACTTCCGATTCACCAAGCGTATACTATTCGCTGAAATGAGTACAACACTAAGCACGCCCCTGACTATGCATTTCAGTCACCTAATTCTTCGTAAGTTATGTAGGTAAACACTTTCTGAATCAGCTCGTTCGGCAGATTGTTCAGCGGGTTCTTTTTTCTGTACGTCCTCTTGTTCGTGTACGGCGAAACGTAGTGCTCCTCCAATCGGGCCTTCTTCGCCCTAAGATTGTATCCATCGTCCAAGCTTCGTTTTCCTGGACCCGTGCCATCCCCATAAATATAAATACATAGCTTATCCACTCAAACTCACCTTCTCTCTGCATCTTCGATTACAAAGTAAATAAATCGGATAAATAATATTTAAAACCAAATCTCACGCTCTGACGTTCGATTAAAAAAATAATTTAATCTTAAATCGTTGCGCGGAAACGGTACGACATTACCTGCGGCAGGTGGAGCGTGGAGCAAGCCCGTCTGGCCCTCTGGTGGAGCTGCAGCAAAGGGCACGATGACTGCACTAAGGGTTCGTTGCAGAGGTTGTTGCCCGGCCTTCTCAGTAGGTCCGGCGTTTCGTTAAAATCTAGGAAAAACGAAACATATACTCAATGGTTAATTATTACACATTTTATCTTTTTTTTTATTGGAAATAGTTTCAATTATATACAGACATAATGTTTATGAATACTACTTTGAATATGCATTTAATCTAAACTAATTTCAGATTAGAATATTATTTTTATCAATACTTTTAAAGTGGAATATAAATAATGAAGTTATTAATAAATATGTATTTATATTTATTTTTTAACATTCAACATTTGTATTAACGACACTATAGATCCTAATTTTTACTAGCTATTTAAATAATTTTAATAGATATTACATTTACAAATGTAAGAGGGCATAATGCTTTTAAATTTTCTAAACTCATACATTCGAACAAGATATTAGAATGTAAGTGATTTTCTACTCGTGTTTCGTGAAATTTTAGATGTGCCGCATTATTTGTCAATAAAGTTCAAATGCACAAAATAATTATGGTTTAGTTATTTTAATCTCTTCATATTTTTTGAGATTTGTATAATAATGTATAATATAGTGCAATTAGATTATAGTCTACGTAATCAATGCTTACGATCTGATCCGACACTGCTAAACATGGAGGAGCCAAGCATTTCCTTCCTGATCCTAGCTAATCTTTGGACGGGATCCTCTCCGGTCAACCAGAATGTCTGCATCTCGCCTTTGCCCTTAAACATAATTTAGTATAAATTTGAGAAAACATAATATTGTTTCATTGAAAGTATTACTTTGATTTGTACCAAACCCCTGTCCTCGAAGTGGTATCCTCCGATACGTTGAAGTAGAAGGTACGTCGCGTGAGAGATGTGGATGCGCAAGGACTCACCTGAACTCTCCATCCTTGAAGCCGTATTCACCGTATCCCCAAAGAGGCAGTACCTTGGCATCTTCAGACCAACTACACCAGCCACACAGTGTCCGGAATGTATTCCGATCCGAAGATGAAGTAATTCACCTGATCTGTGTTTGATCTCGAATTTCTTGATTTTACTGAGCAAATGTAGAGCCATGGATGCGATTTCTCCCGCATGCCGATCACCGTTCCGTATCGGCAACCCACTGACCACCATATACGCATCCCCAATTGTTTCTACCTGCCGATAAAAAATCATGCACATTATTATGTGTATCATTTATATTTCGCTTACAATTAATCAATAACTAAAATTCTCTTGACTAGTGTTTGTTGTTGCAATATTAGAGAACATTATCTATCAATTTGTTTGGAGTCAGTAAAATATTCCTATTTCTAGTAGTCTCATTTCCAACAAGATTTAATATTACAATTGTAAATTAAATATATGCTATTGATTTATTATTTTTTGTAATATTTGGTTGGAATTATTATAATTTTGAATTTTTATTATGATGCTTATTAAATTTACTTGTTTTCAATTGAATTGAAAAACAAATGTACATCAATTTGAAGATATAAATAATTAATAATTAGAACCAAGGCCGAAAGACTTGTATTTCCATTTTATATGCATGCAATAAATTATGTTAGTTATTAACATTATCAATATGTATCTATTTTATAATACTGATAATAAACGAAAATATAAAAATTAAAAAAACTAAATATATAGCTTGTGGTTAAAGGTCTATCGACATCCGTCTTTCCGCCCCATTTATATTATTTTTGTTTTTATGACTATTCGCTAAAATGAATGCACTAACTCCTAAATATAAACGATAAGTATTTTAAAGACTTCAGAGATAATGCTTTCAATTAATTATAGAGATTTGTGAATACATTGGAACCTCGCTTAACGAGTTTAATCTTTTTCAAAATTTCCGGATTTTTACTCGTATAGTGAAACATATTCAAAAATACACATAATATACATACACAAGTTATAAAAATGATGTAGTAGGCGCGCAATCCGGGACTTCTTTTCTTATCATCACTCATTATGCGACATTTTATTTGGAATTGTATTTTATTGGAAAATAAACTTATTAGTATTAATTGCTATAACATTTTGCACTATAGCAGGTGTTTTAAGATGTAAAATTGGTTTACAGTTATATTATATAACCGCGTTCTGATAAAGTTAATTAGGATAAATTAAAAATAATGGTTCGGTGACATTTTTTAAGAATATCTTAATTCCAAATGTTTCAAATTAATTTTTGATTTCGAATACTCCTTTCGTTCAATCAATTTTTCTTGGAAGAAGAAATCAACATCGGCTGTATATCTTTCAAATGATTTTATAATCAAAGATTATATAATTGGACAATGTAGAGTTGAATATTTCCGCTTTAATATTACCTTTTTTAACAACAGAGTTGTATTAAATTTACCAAAAATTTTATAATAAACAAATAAATTATTGAGCAAAATCAAAATTTAACTCATCAATCATCAACGAGATTCACATTTTGTTTGTTTAAGTGATAGTAATAACATCAAGAAGTAAGTTTATTAAATATTGATATACTCGTTACCTTATAAACATCATAATGAGAGATGATCGAATCGAAGCAGGTGTAGAGATCGTTCAGCAGGTTGATCACCTGCAGTGGAGTGCTGACGGCTGAAAGCTCGGTGAACCCCACGATGTCACTGAAGTAGATCGTAACGCAGTCGAAGGTTTCCGCTTGGACTCTTTCCCCTTTTTTCAAGGATTCAGCTACCGATCTGAGAAAAAAGTTTTTTTTTAACTATAAAGAAATTTACATGTATATCTACTTTGGAAGCATCCTGTGAAGAAGCGCATCCGTTTTCTTCTTCTCCTCCGTCAACTGGTTTGTCCTTTCCTGTACTAAACCTTCCAAATTGTAAGCGTATTTCTCCATTATCGCCAGCATGTTGTCAAAGATATTCGGTTTCAGTCCAGCCTTAAAATAAAATAAAAAATATATTAATTTTATTATATAATGATAACATAGTTACGCTTTTTTAGAAATTTGAATGTGATAGGGAAAATATAATTATATAATATTCTCTCAATTATCTATTTAACGAAGTCCATAATATCAAGCCTCAATTTACGTAGGAGATGGTGTAAACATTAATATTGTGATTACTTAGTGAGTTAAAAAAATTTTAGTGGAAGATTTACTTGTTAGATATCAATCAAAAGAAAATGAAGACATAATTAATGAATTTGTTAAAAAAAGATTGCTAATACAGTTCTTATTAAGCAATCAGTGTAATAAATGCAACTAGATAAATGAAAAAAAAACTCAAATTACAAGTAAACTTTGACAATTAATGCCAGCATTAAGATTATTTAATGGCATTTGATAATAATTCCTTTTAATTCTACGACATTGTCGAAGCAGAAGAGTCTGTCCTTCTTTTAGTAGCAATATACGAAAATTGGATGAAGTCTGAATAACAAGACATTGATACAATTTGTGTACATATTCATTTTCAGAAAGAATTTAATCTGAATATTTAAAAAATGTCTTTTGCCAAGTTTGTTCTGTTATATTAAGAATTGTTTATTGTTAATTATCTCTTTGAGTTAATTTCGTTTTGTTCATTAATAAATAATGTGTATATTTATTTCTAATGTACTAAACTTATATTAACATTAAATGGGTTATTGTTAATTATACCTTTCAACATACTATACAAATATTGTAATATTGTTCACTTAATGAAGCTATGCTTTTAAAAACTGTTTTCATTTTCTTTATGTACGAAGATCGTAATATATAAAAGCGGAAATATTTAGTTAAAAAGATTCGTTACTTAATCAGTAAGTTATAAAATTAGGAAAGAGTTACATTTCATATATATAGTGGCCCATCGGATACACCTGAATTCATTTTGAAATGAAACACAGTAAATTATTATTTATTTGGGAAATTTTTATTGATTTATAAAGTAGACACGTTGAGATTAATTATGGAATACTATGTGAGCCAAATGGCTGCCTCGGCTGTGTTGGCATAACCTGACCCTTTTGATAAAATTTTCAAAGACTTTTTGGTTCAATTTTAGAAATAAAGCATTGGTTCTATGTTATCAGTTTAAGTTTGTAGTTTATTAGTATAGACCTTGGACGTTACGAAACCCTATAGGAAAAATCGCATGTCGTCAAGTAGATCTAAACAATCAATTAATGTCAGCATTACCGGTTCATTTACCGGCAAGAGGCATGCTCACTGGTTTTGAGGATAATGGCTATACAAGAACTTTTTGGTTCAATTTCATCAGTTCAAATTTGTGGTTTATTAATATAGACCTTGGAAATTTTCTGTAACTTATAGTTTTACTCAGGGAACTACAAAATCTACCATAATAGTAAAATTTATAAAAGAAATAGTGAGAAGGTTAATAGAAATTCTGTATACAGTTTTGGCCTGTGACCAAGGATCTACAAATTGTGCTGTAATTAATATGCTACTCACTGATTCTTATAAAACATACTTAAAAGAAAATAAGGAACCAAATCCAAATGTTATTAGAATTGGTGAATTTAAAATTTATGTTAAATGGACAGGCTTTGACTTCCAGTTGGGAGGACATCAAAACTGCATATTTCATAGATGCACCAAGGGATCGATGAAGAAAATTAATAGAAGGCATATATATCCTGAAAAAAATCCGAAGATGAAAGTTTTCTATGCAGTTCAGGTATTTAGTCTGACAGTAAGTACTTCTGATCATTTACTACAAATTCAATGGGCACAGCTTTGCTATGTTGTTTTCTAAATCAATTATTTGATACGTTGAATCTAGGCACATTAAAAAACAAATATACAAGAAAGTTTTCAAAAGTATGACATTTGTAAACAATAGAAATGAAACAGCGAACAGCGAAATTTTGTTACAGCATTAAATGGAATGATAAATTTACACAGTATTTTACTGAAAAAAAAGAATTTGTAGATAATAATAAACTAATTCAATTAAGGAAAATGTTTGTTTGTTTTGAATTTCTTGTATTTCATATATTGGAATTGGAGAAGGTTGGAAACCTAAGTAAAATGTTTTGCTTTTATTTGTATATGCTGATTTAAACTCAGTGTTTTCAATTGAAATCTCAACGGAAAATCTAAATATATGTGTTTGATACACGTTCAGAAGAAAAATACATTAATTTCTGATTTACACAATTTTCACTTCATTTATTTTCAAGTTTATTTTTACATCAAAAGAATTATTAAAGAAATAGCATATTTTACAGATTAAAATATTTTAAATATTATTTTATTACATTTTATACAATATTTTTAACTTAATAAATGTAAAATGTTATACACATGTTTTCCCATACTCGCTGTAATTGAAGCTCCAATATGAAATCCTGCACTATCATTAACTCGCTACACATCAAAGGACATAATTTTATGCATTATTGTGAATAGACTACTGCAATAGCTCAAAAGCATTGCGTGAAATTCTCAAATTAATAATCTATGACAGCGGTTCTCAATATTTTCTATTTCACAGCAAACCCTCTCCACCTTTTTATTATTACTTGAATAGCGTCGGCTGTATATAAGATAAAAAGATAGATGAGTATATATATAACATATATTTACAATAATAACTAGGATTTGACAAAATTAAAATATGAGGTAAATATTTTCATACAATAAGCAAAATATTCATTTTTTCTCAATATGATTTAGTAAAGGATAGTTAATTACTGTATATCAAGCGCAATCAATGTCTATTGATTATTAAAAGATATATTTTACATTTATATATAAACTATAAAATTGAGTTGAAAAAGTGAGAATAATGTTTAAAAGATCAGAGAAATGTGTATATTAATTTGTAATAATTTTAATTTATCAATATGTAAGTATATTTAGACTAATTAATGAACATTCTTATAGAAAAAAAAATGTTTTATTGTTCAATTATTAATTAATTTGAAGATAATTGTTTTGAAGATATATAGTTTCGTTACAACGTATAATAAATCAAATACAATATGTTATGATTCTTAGTCCTCTTCTTCCGTCCTTTTAAACATTTACATTAATATTATACTATAATTTCTAATATATAAAAACGAAACAGAAACTTTTCATATGAAGCCTGAAGGAATTTAAAAATATTTAATTCCGGAAAATTCATAACTTTGTGACCCCAACTCTGAAGTTGAAGATAGAACAAGGAGTGATTTGAAACTCCAGCATAACACTTCGTTAATAAAATATGTAAACGATCCAAAATAAAGGAGCCCGGTTCTCAGGCATATAAATTGTTTCTTTGTTTAAATTAACTAAACTTAAAATTATATATAAAATGGTAGGTATCTAATCTAGTTTTAACTGTTATTTTTTGTTAATTTTTTACTTTTAATTTTAAATTTCAAAAGCATGACTTTCTGTGATGCACTTGGTATTTTTTTTCTAATTTCTAATTATTAATATTTACACGATTGGCGAAGGTATAACCATATTTTTTTGTTTTAATGGGAGCAAGTGAATATATTTCTAAATACCATTGGAACTAAAAACATTGGAACAATTATGCTTTAAATATTCAATAAAATAGTAAAAACTAATACTAAATACATATGTTTGACAATTTAGTTTGTAGAAAATGCACACTAAAAACATTTCTATCAGTAAACATTTCGCAGATTAAAATAAGAATTTATAATGGAAATAACATTTATATAGAAATAATTTGATATAATCCATATTGACTTAAATTAATTCATATTTATATCTTGCTTTATTTTCTGGTTTAGGTTGAAAATATTCTTATATACTATTGTTGTAAAATATCTTCAATAATTGAAAATTTAAAATACTATTGTATGTATTTAAAAATATTATTAAGATAAATTGAAAGAAGTTTGTGTGTAACAGCTTATGACAAAAGTAACGAAGATAAATGATTTTTGTTTGAAATATATGTATATATGCGTATTTCTATTTCCTTCCATTCTTTCTATTTCGGACCGTGATATTAACTATACAATGGAATACTTCATGCACAACCGTGGGTTTGTCAGTCTGACTGATTTATATGTTAAAAATATAAGTTAACTAAAATGATTTTCAGTCAAAAATATATTTCTATAATATTACTTTTTTTAAATTATAAATTAAGATTCTTAGCGAATTATAAAACGATGTGTATATTACCGTGTAATCGATGTGTAATTCTATGTAGTGTAATAAAATGTCTATTATTATACAGAGAGTAAAATGCATACGTACTTGCATTTCCTTCAACATCATACGAACATATCGAATGTCCGGCCTCTGTTCGGGCTCCTCGTGCCAACAGACCTTTATACACCTGGTTATGTAATCGGCTGCACCAAGAGCGTCCAGATTTGGACGGAAGGAGGGGACACCCATGCCTTGACCTTTGACTGCGACAATAATCTCTGCTCGAGGGAAGAAAAACAAAGCAGTTAAAGTATACAGACAGAAACTTTGACGCGCACCTGCGGCGGTCATTTCCGTGGCGCCCCAAGGTCCGGCCCTGCCTATGATCTCGTACAGGACGACGGCGAACGAATAGATGTCGCCCTTCTGGGTACCTCGTGGCGAAGGCGCCGGGTCCCTCAGCAACTCCGGTGCCCTCCACAGCGACCGACGAAGATTTTTCTCCGCCATTTCCGGATCATCCTCGCCGGCTATCGAAATGCATTCAATATTATATAACAGACTGTGCGAATTCGAGGCCACAACGAGGACAACCTTTGAATTCGGTGAGACCGAAGTCGGTGATCTGCAACACCCAGCGACTGTCGATGAGGCAATTGCTCGGACGCAAGTTTCCATGAGAGATGATGTCGCTGTCGTGCAGATAAATCATACCCTTCGAAAAAAAAAAATGCTTGGTGTTAAGCAGAAAATATTAAAATAAATTGGAATATGACGGCAGACCTTCAGAATGTCTGTGACCAGCGAGGACACGAACATGTTGTCCAGGTGGAGGTCCTCGTTGGCTAGGACGTCCTCGAGGCTGCCGCGAGCGCAGTATGCCGTGAGGATTGCGACGTGACCATGATCGACGCTGGCCCCGATAAACGGGATGATGTTCTCGTGCCTCACTTCCCTTATCTGCATTTCCAAAAACAAGCTTTAATCACCTGTCATGTTATATTGGAAATATCCTAACAGTATACACAAACTAAATCTAAAATAACAAAAGTCTTTTCATAATCAATAGAAAATGTATTTGGTCTTCCATCACAAACGAAATGAAGAATATTTATAACTATCGGTGTCACTATGTATATGAGAGATAATGTGTGTAACAGTTTTTCGTGATTTTGTTAAGCATAATGCGTTATTGATTTAAATGCGTCAATCATCTATCTATTTGTCCTCCATAATTGCATTTACACTAAATCAAAATACGTTACAAATCATTTTGTTCTGAATTTTACATGAAAAATTGTATAATTTTTATTTTATATTAGGTGCTTTTAATGGATTATTTGTTTTGTATCAACAATAAATATTACATGATTTTCATTTATTTAATTATATTGTAATCCTTTTTTTTTCGTCTTTACGATAATAAATATGTTATATTTTGTAAATTAAAAACATTATTTTATCAAACATACAATATAGATAATAATTTTATTAGTAAGAAAGATTAAATTGATTTTAAGAATAATTCTAGTTTTTACGATTTAATTTCTGTGAATGCGGAAAAACCTAATTCGCAAAGGTACGGAGCAGCTACATAAGGGCAGCTAACATTTAATAGCTATAGAAGCTAATTGAGAATATGAGTCCCAAATTGAAATCCAAAATTCTAATAATTCTAGCACATAATATGAAGATTCTATGCATACAGGATCGTAATTTAATTTTCTTTCAGTTACGACCATCGTATTTTGCAAAGGAATTGATGACCCACTAGTATATTTGATGAAAATTACTTATAAAATGATACAGAGAGGTTTTCTACTGCTGTATAGACAACATTACAAATTTGTTAGGAAAATCGTCTACATCAAGGAAGTAATCAAGCTGTCAGTTTTTAACTTTCCTAGTCCAGTTCTAACTTATCAGTGAAAGCCTTTGATTTTCCTATGAGTATGATAATATTTTCGTATGCTCAAATTTAAAACGTTCAACCTTTCAAATAGATCGTTGATAAATGTTACTTTCAGCCACCAATTAGCTCTTTTTAGAATTTCAAATGTTTCGGTATCGAAGAAAGATATTATTTCAGTGCAAGAACTTTTCCTTTCAAGAGCTATTGCACTTGTGTATGAAGCAGTAATCACTTAAAATCAGAATCCATTCTTTTACATAGGAATGCAAAAAGTCAGTAATTCACCATGTACATCGTCTTCAGGAGTCTATCAGGTAAAGATTTTGACACCAATACTTCGCGGTGGATCATGCAATGTATAATTTTGACTTAAGAATTTTTCAGACGATGTTGACACCTAGATATTTCATGTCGGTGTTTTACAGGATTTTTTCTCGGTGATGATTTTGTTCTCATCTAAATGATTTATCTAGTCATAGTCATTGGGTAGTAGTTGAATGGATTTGCTGCAGATTTTAAAGCGAACAATACTTGTGCTATAAAAAAGCTAGTTTATATAAGTTTAGAGAGTCTTTAAATAAACACAATCTTTTACCCGCGCAAAAGGTTATTGGTCGAAAACAATAACCGACCTGCAAATAAATTTAGCCATAAAATCGTCATATTCTCATTGAAAAGACATAAGGTTTAATGGTGATCAATATCAAGTCTTTGTATAACGTTATCGTGATTGCACTATCATATTACTTCAAATAACAAAAATATAAATTTGATTCATTAAGTAATATGTCTCATCTGAAATGCTGAAGTAACTACATAGTCTTATAGAGAATAACTTACCTATTAGTTTAATAACAAAATTGTTATAAAACCAATTGGATTTATTTAATTTCTAACTACTGAGACTCCACAACTACAATAGCAGACAATATAATATGTCTAGAATTCCATATATTATAGATTCTATAATATAGAATAATAATCTTTAAACATTTCCAAATGTCTGTAAATATTCCCAATTTGTATGAATCTAAATAGTAATCGATATAGCTATAAAACTGACTTTATTTCCAATCAATACGTCATTGATAAAGAACTCGAAATATCAAATAATAAAATCCATGTTCTTAATTTGTTTTAACTACAAAACATAAATAATAATTACCCATTGCATATAGTCTAATTAAAAATACATACTAAATGGATGCAAATAATATGAAATATTTTATTTCATAATTTCAAGTTCTGTATATTTCTTCAGATATTATTCAAATTATCATTTTAAATACAATATAAATATTTTCCATCTATTAATAACAGCAAGGTATATTATGAATTAAACATGTTTAATCTTAAAGTAATGTATTTGTTTTAGAAAAATACAATTACATTAATAAAACAACGACGCTATGTAAAAGTAAACGGTGCAAATTGAAAAATACATATATATATATATTATACGACGATCTTAGAACTCGATAAAATGAGATGTTTGGACTTGAATAAATATTTTAATTCGAATATATTTGTTTTTATTTTGCGCAAAAATAGATGAATTGAAGTTGATTATATTTTGTTTCTTATATAGATTTATAAGAAAATATGTTATTTCATTGGAGATTAAAATGTATTTCAAATGCTGCAATTGTTTGTACGTCAAAATAGTAGTAAAACCCGCAGGATCCAATTATATCGACAATCTAGAAATCGTTCTGGCATCTTCCAAGGATCAGTTCGAGCGGAATTGCCAATTCTAGTGTAAAGATAATTAGTTTGTGTCGGATTACGGTGTTGCGATTACATTTAATTACCTGTTTGAGCTCTTTGCGGATCGATCTCGTCAAATCAACCGACCTTTTTCTGAGTTGCTTGATAGCCACGATGTTGCCCCTATATAGACCAATCCTCGTGTACGCCCTTTTCGGATTCGTGTCCGAGATCTCGGCGATGCTGCCCGTAGGAGCATGGAAAACGCTGTGCCTGCAGACTTGTATCTATGCAAAACGATAACAATAATTACAGTAACTGCAGTACACACTTAACATAAGCGAAATATGCGTACCATGCTTTTATTTCTGGTCGTCGTCTCCGTAGTTTCAGTGGGTATTATCGTTACCTCGCGCATGTCGATCTTCCATAATAGACAAGCCAGCTTCTGTTCATATCTGTAATGCCTTTAAGAAACTGTGAGTTAGTGGATACATGAAGTTGACTTGAATTTTAGAGAATCAGGGCATACTTAAGGGCAAACAGCGCGCCTACCAAGCCGACGATTGTCACAGAGCAGATGGCACCTACAAGTCTCCAGTCCATCCTGTAGATGCATTTCTCTCCTTTGAAGCCGCACTTCGGCTCTGCCCTCGGCAGTCTGCCTCCAACCCACTGAATCGGTTTCGTCTCATCCAAATATTTAAATTCCTAAATCACATACATAATAAAATTTTTAACATATTATATATATCCTTTGTCTCTATTGTTTGATAAACCCGGTTTTGCAGAAAAGTTGAAATTATTTGTTTTTTTTCTCATTTAAAAATTGCTTGTATGGATTTATTACATTATTATCTTATCGCTTAACGATAAAACAGGATCCTAAAGAAAATTTTGTTATTAATAAGTTTTTCTTCTGTTCTTAATAAATATCCTAAATCCAACTGTTTAACTTTATTCATATTTTTTATTTTGCTTCTAGAACTTTTTGTCACAATAGTTACTAAGAATGTCTTCAATTATATAGTTTTTCTAAAAAAAAAATTAATTGGTATTAATTTTTTACTAAACTAGATAAACAACATCTTTACTAGCTAATACATACAAGAAATATTTTCATAATTAAAATAATTGTGTGTGTTTATTATTGATTTATATGTTATAACTTCAGTTTAAAATTCCTTGTTTTTAATTTCTTTAATTTTTATTATAAATAATATAATTGAAACTAATCACGTTAAATATATATTGTGTATTTTTTACGCTTTTATTCATAAATATCTGTTTTTTGCAGAATTCCCAACTAATAAAATAAATCATTATTAATGAGATTAATGTACATTTTTTTTCTTTGATATATATTACGTCTCTTTTTCAGCTTTTTAAATTTTTTATTTTCCATATTTTTTACTATGAGCGAGCATATATAATACTCATGCAAATTGCACATGAAAAGCTGTATTCACTTTGAAAGCGTAGTTTCTCATTTATTTGAATTCTAAAATCCAATTTTTATATGTTTTAATCTCCGTGTATATATACATTAGTAATATCTCCTAATTTATCATCTGTAAACAGTACATTGATATTATTTGTATTTCAGGGAAATAAATATTAACACTTTCTACTGAAGAATTGTTATAAAAATTAATTAGTTAATAACTATTGTTACATTTTATAATCATAACTTTTAGATTCATATTATCTTATATCATTCATATTGTTAGTTTCATAATTTAACTTATTGACGTATCTCACCTACATATTACAATTGATGTCTTATTAACTAAATTTATAAGTTGAATTAGAAAATTTTAATCAAAACTTCATTACTGTTACAGGTAATATATCATATTCCGATGACATTTAATCTGGAATCGATTAAACGTGCTGCGTGAACATTGCAGTTGAATGCAATAAGTTATAATGGGTTTTAATATTACATTATACATTACTAATTTGTTTTCTAAACTTTCGAGAACTGTAAGTTCCCGCGTAGTAGCCAATATAAGTTTAGAACATTTCCTTTAAGTCTTTTTGCATTAATGAAACTTGTAGATTTTAACGTGCTTTAGTTTTATTCTCTTTATTGAGGAAGTAACATATTTTCTTTTGCTGAATATATTAATATTTATTTCATTTTTGTTGCCCTGTTTCTGCAATACTTATGCAACTAATATATATAAATAAATATAAATAAGTCATTAAGTGTTATGCTCTATTACGTAACATTATATTACAATTGCTAATAGTGGAACTTGGATTTGGAATAATTAATTTAAATTCAGTTCTGATATGCTTAATACCAAAGGTTTCAATAGACTAATCTGTATGCAGATAATGTATTGTATTATGCACATGCTTAAACCGTAATTTCCGGAAACAAGTGTAGGTTTCTGGGTCAATTCACCCATATCTAATATTGTGAATATTAAATATCTTATAGTATGTTTATAAATATTTCTTATGACCCATAATTATGTTAGCACCATTTAAAAAAAATATTTCATGATAATACTTTAATACGTGAAAATAAAATGTATAATCTGATTTAGATAGAGGGAATCGACATATTTATTCGTTCTTGTACTGTAACCCAATTACTAACTTTTTTTCGCCAATCAAAGCACAACACAGAACTATCATTTCGCGTGGAACAATGCTTTGTAGATGTGACAGTAATAATTTTATTTGTGGTGTATATTATAAACCGAAGAAGAATCTAAGAAACACATTTTTGAAAATGCATTAAATGCTGATATATGCTACTTGCCGCTTCTCAGCTCCTAAGTAATCGAAGCTCAACGGCATTAAAAATGCAATATGGTGTATATTATCATAAGGTGATATTATTTCCGTTAAGAAATATTTATACAAATATAATATATGTAGAGCTTGAATGATGATGATATATTCGACTTGAATAGAAATTGCAATGATCCATTATTCTTGGGTGAAGTAAAAAGTTCTGAGCGATTTTTTTCTTTATTTCGACGATGTAAAATTAAGTTAGGATTTAGATCAAATATGTTAGATAAATTTTGTTCAATTTGAAGGCAATTTCATAATTCCGCGATTGAAGAAGTTCTCGAGTTTAAAAATGTGATAATCGCTTGGTGCCAGGTCTGGGCGTTGTTTTGACGGAACACATGAAGGGTGTTGTGTTCCGTCAAGACAACGCCAGGGAGCACACATTTTTAAAGACGCGCCAGAAGCTCAGAAATCCAGATTCAGGAAAACTGCTCCGGTGTGTTTCCTCCAATTGAAGGCAGTCGCGATCTATTCAACCACCCTACTTCGTGGTGGAGCGTCCGCTCCGGAAGCCAAATTAATCGTCCGGGATGATGTTGTGTTGTTCCTTATGGTCCTGAAGCCTTCGGGGGATGACTTTCTCCGCTACCTTAACTAGAGATGGCAGCAGGCTATATGGCCTGTAGTTTTTGGGTAACTGCAGGTTATTCGCGCACTTAGGGATTACGATGATGTTCGCTCTGCCATGTTCTAAATCAATGGAAGTATCCAGAGCATGGCATTCAAAATAGATACTATGTGCATCATCGATCTGTTCGGCAACAACTTTAGCACGCGATTGTTGATGCCGTCGATACCTGGGGCCTTCTTTGGTTTGGTCCGCTTGAGGAATTCTCCACTAGAGGCAGGGAAATGATGTCTTTATCCGGCGTATGAGTGAGGGAGCCTCTGTCTTATCTTCTTCCGAGAAGACCATGCCATCCTGACCGTGGATGGGCGGGTACTGTATTCTCTTTTTGTCAACTTGGTCGTCAGCCAGGTTCAAGATACGTTCCTGCCATCTGTTGTTCCTCAGTGTCCAGTTCTTCACGGACCCGAGCAGAGAATATTCTAATTATGCATCTCCGTATCGTTATGATTTATTAGTATATCAATTATTTGTTCTCGAAATTTTAGCAAATCATATTGTTCCTCCACAAATTAGTACTATTATAATTGTTTATACCACTTAACACTTCTACGTAAACAGTTATAATATGATCTTATTTGATCAGAAACATCAACTACTTTTTTTTAAATTATTGTAATCAAAAACACCATCAGGTTTTAGTTTCCAAACATAATGTTTGTTGCTAGTTTTTAACATGGAAACTGTCCTTTTATCAGAGTATTTTATAAATGTTTCCAGTGGTAAACATTTACTATTTACTTTTGAGGTACCACATAGGTAAGTTGACTTTTTCAATAGTTCTTCTGCTACAGGTACACTTGTATGTATGTACCCCCTTCATACAACATACGTACACCTGTATAATCACCAGAAAAACATAATTTTTATAATTTTTTGCTATATTTTTGTCGTTTGCGACCTCGCCATGGTATCATACTTTCGTCTATAACAATATCTTTTCCTAGTTTTACAACACTTTTAAATCAATTGATAATTTCGTCTAAAATAATTTTGAATTTGAACAACGGTGGTATTGTCGCTGAAGTGCAGATATTTTAAAATATTCAAAAAACGTTCACGTTTCATTGCCATCTTTATTTGGTGTACATATTATCTGGCCAATATACTTTAATTTTTGGAACTTGCGTTATGATGGACAAAATTCCAATTTTTTTTTTCATTTCCGCTATACTGACGGCTTTCCAAGACTGCTGGTGTTTTCTATTGTTAAATTCGAATTGGGTTGCGTACCTATTAGTTTGATCTACTATAATTTTCAGTATACTATCTGTTAAAAACAATTTGTAAAGAAAAAAAATCGATCAAGTGCACTTTATATTCATGTCGATCAATATATCATCCTGTGCATAATAAATGTCCATTCTCTATTATTAGAAATTTCTTCTAAATGGTTATTTGAATCATCCATAGATAATTCATCATCAGTACCCTCGTTTTCAGTAGCACCAACACTCATCTCTTCTGCAGAGGACAAAAGCCAACGAGAACGTTGTGTTGATCTTTTTTTACAACCCATGGATTCTTCCGAAGAAATATCATTTTCATTATAATTCATATTTATTATAAAAATAGATATTTATTTCCAGCTGAAACAACAATGCAAAACCTTATTCGTATGGGAGTTATTTTTGCCGCGCCATGTATATTTTTTTAATCTATGGCGCAACACTAAATTTTAGAGAATTATTTTTTCTTACCAGAAATTATATCTTTGCTTAGGACCTGAGCAAATAGAATTGAATGCAAATTTCAAATATTTCTCACAATTGTTATAAATTGTTTCAAAATTATTCAAAAGTGTATAAAAAACAGTTTAAGCATTTAAAGTTCTTAATTGCATTAGCGCAATTGATGCCCTAGGCGTAATCTGATTTGGAGGCCCATATTGACTCTACTAAGAAAATCATAGGCCTCCATATTAGTTTAAGAGGCCCTAGGCGCGCGCCTATGCGTTAATGCGCCACTGTGTAATTGATGTTTCATTAAGTTCACAGATGTCCCCGAAAAACATTCTTAGAGAATTATTTCTCGAAAAAAAAAATACTATTTATAATTTGTGTATGTTTATTTGAGATACATAATGTACATCGTATTTTATTTTTTATTATATGCTCATTTGACATAACATTTTTTTGAGTATTAGAAAACTAATGTACATAAAATATTTGTTAATCTAATATAGATATTAATTATATGTAAATATAAATAAATAGTGCAGAAACTTATGGTCAATAGCAGTTTTTTTTTTTAATTTTTCTTGTTATAT